TTGACTACGAAATAAGCTACAAGAAGGGAGAAAACACTCCTCATGCTGACGCATTATCGAGATTGTCCTTTCTACCACAAGATGAAGAGAAGGACCAAGAAACATTCATACACTTAGTCAAGTCAGATATTGTGAACCTTGAGCAAATAATAAAAGAAACAGAAAATGATAGGGTATTGATGGATATCAAAACCAGAATTAGCAAAAATAATTGGAGCAAATGCTCGGGAACAGAAAGACCCTATAAATCTATTAGGAATAAACCGACTATCGAGAAAGGAATTGTATGTAAAGGTGATCTTATTGTACCTCCTAAAACAATGAGAAAGATCTTCATCAAATCGATCCATGATGATATACATTAATGCAAACGCGATGTAGATTAAAATTGGAAGCCTGGTGGCCTGGCTACTGTCAAGATGTTGAAGAATATGTGAAAAACTGTGAAAAATGTGCAGAAATAAAAGTGAAGAAGGAAAGGACATTATAAACATGGCCAAGTGAAAATAAACCTTGGTGTAGAGTACATATGGATCATGCCCATGTACAGGGTTCAGACTGTTTTTGATTTTAGTAGATTCTTTTTCTGGATGGCCGGAAGTTATTAAGGTAAATAACCGTGAAGCGGCCACTGTAAAGGCAGTGGTACAAAGTGTTTTTTCAAGAAATGGAGTTCCAGAGGTTTTAGTATCCGACAATGCTGCGGAATTTCATGCTACCACCTTACACCAGTGGCTAAAGAAAATCGGTTGCGTGCCTTATAAGACTCCACCTTACCACCCTCAATCTAAAGGTTTATTATGCAGATATTTTAGCAGAATGCTTTTAAGTTACAGAACATTACCTCATGCAGGAAGATCAAGGAGTCCTTCCGAGATGATGGGAAGGCAGTTGAGATCCCCTCTCACCATGAGTTTTGAAAGTGGAACACCGTTATGGTACCGCCAAAGACCAGATTCCAAACCTGAACCTGCTTCATTCATCTCTCAGGCAGGTCTAAACAATGCGATCATATTGAGGAATAACTCTTCGGGTACGTTAGCACACTGTGACCAAATAAACAAACGCCTCAATGAGCCTAGTATACTTATGAATAATGAAGACAGTATGCGGTATGATCATATCAATAATGAGAAAATCGATCCTTGCAATAGTGATAAATCTGATATGCCTGAACTAAGTGTTACTAAAGGAGAGCCTAACCAGGATCGAAGAAGTACACGGTCGAGAAGGGGGCAAAAGCCAATACGTTTCAGGGATGCGAAGCTGTGAACCTTAGTCATATGCTGACAAATAGGAACAATGTTTTTATATATATATACATACGTGGCTATATTAAAACCTATAATAAAGATGGCTTACTTATAAGAATATATATATTTAAATATAGTACAGTGTTTTATTAACGACACAACAGGAGGATTTTAAATTAATATTGTAAATAATATATAAAGAATTTTTCAAAGCTGTTTATCTCAGTTCAAGTTTTTTCGTTTTTGCTTAAACTTCAAAACACAGTTTCTTGAGTTAGCATTGTTCATTTGATCTGAAATTTTCAGTACTTGCTCGAAATACCTATAAAATTCATTTAACAGATGGATTTTATTTATGATCAGTAATTTTTTTTTTTTTTTTTTGATTCAGATCTCTCTAAAACGTCAAAAAAAAATTAAAATATGAGGAAAATCTACATAACTCATCATTTAGTTTAATATTTAAAAAATCTATCTGTTAAATGGAATAAAATAGTGTTTACAGTAAGTGTAAAAATTTTCATATCTATCCTTAGATATTATGTTTTGAAATTTAGTCCAAAAACGCATTTTTTGATAGTTTTTCCGCCATTATGGTCCTAATTTAATAAAAAAAATTTTTTTTTTGCTTTTTTTTATTTAAACCATTTGAGTAAATTGTATTCAAAAGCATTTTTATTTTGGAAGTTTATTTCATTTTTTTATTTATTTGGTGTTGTACCACCTTAAGTATTTGTTAAATTTGTTAAAACATTTACATATTTTAAATATTTATAGAGTTTTTTATAAAACGTTAAAATATTTTATAAAACGTTAAAAAAAACTTAATCAAAAAAAAAAAAAAAAAAAAAAAAATTGTAAGGAAAAGTTTTTCTTAAAAAATTTTTTTTTTTCGGTGAAAGCAAGTTTTTTTCAAAAATTGATTTTTGAAAAAACTTGCTTTCACCAAGCATTGTTATTTATATTAATATAATTTTAAACTGCACAAGGGTTTTCAGCAACCGTAAGATCCCAGACATCTCCTGTGTTGATAAAAGCGCTGAACAATCAGCAAGTTAATAAATAAATGCAAAATAACTTTGATCTTTGTGTCTGAGTAACCAAACTTGAAAAACAAAATTGATTCAAACTCGCCTTCTCTTTGTTAACTATGAGAAGACCTTAATTCAAAATTCAGCTCGCATTTTTAATTATAGTATTAAAGGATTTATTTATGGTTTCGAAGCAATCTAAATGTTTATGGAGTAAATATTTTAAACTAGGAACGTTAAACTGAATCTAAAAATGTAATCATTATAGGCATTTAAATTCCTTTAACGGCAAAGATGTTTCTAAAAAAAATACTTAACTCTTGTGAATTAAAAAAATAAGCATGCGGTGTTTACATAACTATAGGCTAAAAAACAGGTAAACAAATATGCGTTGTATTCATACCTTAAAAAACAGGTAAACAAATATGCGGTTTATTCATATCTTAAAAAACAGGTAAACAAATATGCGGTGTATTCATACCTTAAAAAACAGGTAAACAAATATGCGGTGTATCCGTATCCTAAAAAACATTCGTATACCGTAAAAAAAGATTTTAAAACATTTAGAACATAAAGTTCAAAACAAGCACTAAATAAGCTAGTTTAAAAAAATCTGTTTTTACCACGTCTAAATTTAAAGATTTTGCATGTTTGTTTTGCTCTATAAAATCAATTGTCCCATGATTTAACACTTTTTATATAATAAATCAAAAACTCTTTACTTTTTTGCAGGATTTGAAGGACCATATAAACAATTACAACAACACTAAAAAACCATTTTCACCTAAAATATTGGTTAAAAAACCATTTCCACCTAAAATATTGGTTAAAAAACCATTTGCACTTAAAATATTGGTTAAAAAACCATTTCCACCTAAAATTATTGGTCAATCGATGAATAGTAAATTAAAAACATTACTTTTAATTGATCAAGTGAATATTTTTAATTTATTGTTGTAAGATTGTAAGGTCAATCTCATTGTTGTACCTTTAATTACTCTTTATTATGACAGATTTTTTACAGCAGTAATCATATGATTACTGCTGTAAAAAATCTGTCATATATAAAAATTCTACTGATTCATTTGATGTCATTTTTTTATTTAAACATGACACTATGAAAGAGTTTCCTGACATTTTTTGTACATTTAAACATGACATGTGTTTTGTAGATAAGGACTAAGGATCAGGAATTATTTCATTTTCTTTATTTTTCCTTAAGTTATCTTCAACACAACTAAGAAAACTGACCTTCCCAAATGCTAATATGCTAATAACTGTGTGTATAAAATTTGTGTTTAACACATGGCAATCGTGAATACATTTACCTTTAACTCACCACTTTCATTTTTTTAAATTATCTTATATTAATAAAAACACACAAAACATAACTGCACTGTGAGAACAATACAACCTGGGGACTACTTTTTAACTTTCTTTAGTTTTCGCCATCATATATATATATATATATATATATATATATATATATATATATATATATATATATATATATATATATATATATATATATATATATATATATATATATATATATATATATATATATTAAGACAATAAAAATGTAAAAACATTTTCTCTACTTTAAATTGTACATAATAAAATAAGCTAGGTAGTATACTGTTTATTATTTTATTTTGAATAGGTTTTTTAAAAACTCTAAAACTGTGGTTAATTAACTCAGTCATGGTTAATTAATATATATACCACGAACTAACTATACTACACTAACTTTTTAATTGACTTAAATACAATTGATTTTCCATTGATTTGTTTACAATAGATTTTCAACTGAAACAGCTTCACATCAAATAGAAAACCTTTAAAATATACTTTATATATTTTAAATTTTATATCCAACTATACTAATAGTGCAAAATAAAAAAATATAAGCAAGGTAGTAATTGCTACAGAAGTAACTAAGCGTCGTGTATTGGTAAGCAAACTGATTTCTACAAAATAAAAATTGTATTGTACAACACGTTGAAAATAATTAAGTTCGTCTTCAAAGTTATAGAAGTTATTTAATGAAATTGAAATTTTCGGTTTTGAAAATTTTTGAAATTTATTAGTAGTTTTTCTAAATTTTGCAACTTTAGTGCTTTGCTTCGACATTATTTCCTTCTATATTTCTTTCTTTGAAACATAAAATCTTTTTATTATACATTCTTTAAATTTAAATTTATTACTATTCAGGTTTTACAAATTATGATTTAATGTAAAAAGAAAAAATAATGTAAAAAAAAAAAAGCAAGGGAGTGATATAGAGGCATTGAAATAGAAGGGAGTTTGTAGGCAAGTCATTAAAGTCAAGTATTTGTTGGAGGACATTTCAAACCTATGTTACCAAAACTATTAATCGAGATATTTAAAAAAGTAAAAAGTAAAAAATATTTGCTAGCCAATATCAATCTTTTGTTAAACATTTAAAGATGTTTAAGGCAAAGATGTTAATGACACGGAAACACTTTTTTCTGCAAGTATCACTTAACAAAATTCTTGTTGAATTACATATTTTTAACATTTATAACGAAGGTTTATAAGGTGTATAATGTATAAGGGGTGTGAAATAAAATATTTTAGTTATGCCCCTGGATAATGACAAAAAAATGCTAGATAAAATCATCCCTATTGAACGATAATGAAATTGTGTATAAATAGTGGATATAATCATCACTAGGTAAAGTATATACTTTACCTCCTTCACTATATGAATAATCCTTTGTATAGCTGCATGTTCTATTATATGCTTCATATCAGAGTACTCCTCTAAAATTTTCCGTAAATCACATGCATCCAAAGTGAACATCTCACAGGTAGTAATGGCTACAGCAGTAACTAAGCGTCGTGTATTGGTAAGCAAGCTGATTTCTACAAAATAAAAAGTGTATTGTACAACATGTTGAAAATAATTATAAATAATTATAAAAAGTAATTATTGAAAAAAATAATAATATCTGTTCTCATGTGCTTAATACATGAGAAGCAACATTTATTAATTTTCAAGGGCTCTAATAAGGATAAGACCTTATCTTTATTAACTGCCCCCCCCCCCCCCACCTCTAATCCCCTTCTTCCTTGTATTAAGCAGATGAGAATAGCCTTTTTAACTAGTTTTATACTTATCCAAATTATTCTTAGAAACATTTTTTTTTTTAAGGTCTGATATTATTAATAAATTATTTCTTTCTAACTGCAGTATTAGAGTTATTCTCAAAGTATGACACTCTTCTTCATTTAGTCTAATACTTTTGAAGTCTTTGCAAGTCAGAAAATAATAAGCACCAACACAAGATCCAATGAAACCCAATGTAAATTAATCTCATCAAAAGATACATTTTTTTACTTAATGCCACAAATTTTGTAAAAGATAGATAAAAACTATTTGGTGGTTATAATTTGTGTTTAATATTGTACTATAGTCATATAATAAGTTATTAGAGAGAATTTGAATCATAATAATACTTAAAACCCTAAGCAATAAGTTGTGCAGTTGCCTACTTGTTAATCAAACTAAAGTCACAACAAAGAGTTTTTAGAGGCCAATCATATATTATGTATGCATCCATATTTTATGTATGCATCCATATATTATGTACGCATCCATATATTAAGTACAGGAAGGGTAGGGACTGTCCAAATTTCCAGATTTAGACACCCCCTCCTCCCCTGTTGCAACTTATACATTTTTATACCCCTCATATGTACGTATGCTTAGAAGACTTACTCCCTCCCCCACGGTGACCTTACCCCCCACCATGTAAGTTTCACATGCTTGGTGGTCTAACCCCCTTCTTCAATTCCATTCACGCACGCGAACTTGATCACTTTTTTTTTTGCGTTATTTAACCTTTATCACCTTAACAAACTTGAATGTGAGCAGCGTTCACATTTTATTAATTGGCAAGTGAATGTGAACTCCCACCTCAAATTTATACATTTGCGTACATACATTTGTTGGACCCTCCTCTTCCCCCCCTTTGATATTTTACAACTTAATAAATTCCATTTTTTACATTATTTCCTACTTAGGATTATCAATCTTACTTATGATTAATAATCCTATGTAGGAAATATAGTAACAAGATTATATCTACACCAACCAATCAAATAAAAGAGTGCTAGACTTTGAGAAAGGAAATTCTTTGTTTAACTCTGAATATTACCTTCCACTCTTGCAAAAAAAGATATTTTTATTTTGAAAATTATCGTACTAAAGAGTGGTAAAACAAATAAAATTTTTTAACATTTTAGCGTATTTTTAAATTCCACAATGAATGCATGTAATTAATAATACTCTATAGTCTTTTCTTTTTTATTTATACAGTTATATATCATATTTAATTTAAAAACTAGTTTCTACTACTAAAGCATTAATCTAAAAATAAAATAAATTTAATGTAAAAATATTAAAATTATTTATATGCTAAAAGAGAATTATAAATATGTCTTGCTTATATAAAAAAAATACTTTAACAAAGAGAAATTTAAAATGGATCATTGTAACTATCCAACGGACATTTGTTGGTTTAAAACTGGTTTAGATCAGGTTTAGATGGCATTTACGTCGGTCTAAACGTTTAGGAATCTATTTTGAACGTGTTCTGAATATTTAATTTGAGTTGAAAAGCTAAATCAAACAATTTCTGTACGGAACTAACTTAATTAAATTAGTTTCGCCCAGAATGTGTCAGGCATTTTGAATCTTTCATTATGATTAAAAATTAAAATTTCTTATGAATCTTTAATTATGTAATAAATGGTTTAAAAAAGATTAAAAAAAATTGTTTTTAGTATTATAATGTGTATTATATTGTGGGTAATGAAGCAGCTAAAAAGTCCTGTAAGTTCTTCGATAACATTGTATAAGCAATTAAAAGTAATTTTAAGTACAGTAACAATGTATTTTTTTAATTCTTTGTTTTAGTTATTGCTACTAAAATAGTAATTTCAAAAAAGTAGCAGTAGTTTCAAAAAAGTAGCAGTTTTAGCATTTCTTTAAACTATTTCTTAAATTGTTTTTTCTGTTTGGTTTTTAACAACGCTATAGAACGTCTATAGTTAACTCTTAGCCTCCAAATTTTTCTACTTTTACTAACAGTAGAAAAATTATGAAAAAAAGTTACCACTTAAAGTGCATAAATTTTCTCTGGAAGTTTTAGAAAAATTATGCATTTTAAGGGGTAACTACTCTTTAATTAACTAAATAAAATTATTATTCATTGTTTATATATAAAGATCTGTTTGTTTATGATAGATGTTATATTAACATCTATTTGTTTATGATAGATGTTATATTGATCGAATAGCAATGTTGTAATATTTAAACTTTTAGTGCAGTCAGTGCCAATCAAAAATTGTGAGGTTCAAATATTTATATAATGAATCTTCAGTTTTAGTCTAGGCTTTTTGTGTAAACTGAAAAATATTTTTAAATATTTAAGTATTATTCATACTCCTATATGATAACCACTAAATAGAAAATAAATTTTCTTACCTCTGATATGATAGATTATTATATTATATCATTTATTTTTTCTTTACTAGATAAGTTAACATGGTTTGAACAATAATATATATAGCTATATTACATAATTTTCTAAAATTCACGCAAATTTATTTTTTATTGTTAATTAAGTTTTGCGTGTTTAATTTTATTTAGTATTTTTTATAGAGTCCAGTCAGTTGCAACAACAATTAAAGCAGCAGGAAACAGCCAAGTAGACATGCAAGTGGTAAATTGATTTTTTGTGACATTTTTACTCCTTTAAAATTTAGATTTTCCTGAAATAATAATTAAGTTAATGACTATTTCTGTAAAGATCATTCTGTAAATAAAAATTGCAATGATCTTTAAAATTAATAGTTATTTTTTTAGTAATTACAAGATAAACTGCAAACTCTTTACTTTTAGATATGATTCTAATAGTTGCACATCTGTCAGATATTTACCTTTTAAATCATAATCTAATTGCTCAAGCTTATGAAAAGCTATTTATAAAAATTCAATGCTTAAAAAGTATTGTAAGATTAAAGGTAATTCCTGTTTTATTTGAAAGGTACATTGATGATTGGTTTGAGTCTTTAAAGTTTAAATTAGTTAAGAGAGTTCAGCAATAATTATATATATATATATATATATATATATATATATATATATATATATATATATATATATATATATATATATATATATATATATATATATATATATATATATATATGTATATATATATATATATATATGTATATATATATATATATATATATATATATATATATATATATATATATATATATATATATATATATATATATATATATATATATAAACAAAACAAAACAAAAAAAGATAACAACAGTTTTACTACAATATAAATAAACATTTAAAAATAAAGTTGTAATTCTTAAAATTCCTAAAGTTAAAAACTAATCAATAAACATAATTAAAATTTATATATTAAAATTATATATGTACTAACATGCAACTCAAGCTAAAAATTAAGTATTACTTGATCAATCCATTAGTTTGTGTTTTGATATAGTAGTTATGTGAATAATGGTATTTTAGAATTCAATTTTTGGGCTAACAGAATAGGAGACTTTGCAAGTACTGATGGGTTAGCTACAATGTAAATAACTATATAGATATATTATGTACACAAAGTTATTTTAAATAAAAATTTACTCAAGCATTAAAAATTTGATTTTAAAAAGTTTATCCTAAAAAGATTACATTGCTAAGTATGTTCATATGTCATAAAATTACCAGGTTTATCTAAAAGTAAAGGAGTTCTATATAAAATTATAAATTTAGACATCTTACTTGAACAGTTCATTCTACAGTCTTTTGGTATAACAGTCACACTTGATTTGAATAAAGATATCTTAGAATGCAATTGAATGCTTGAGACAAGGTGGCTGTGGAAGTGGTGATGGTTTAACTAAAATGTAAATCCGAGTGTATATTGTTTGAGATCATCACAACTATTATTAGTCTTCAAAGATGTAAGTAGGACAACTTAATTGCATAATATACTTGCGGTACCATATCCTTAATCTTTTTGTATGATTAAACATTTGTAACTTTTTTTTAATGCTTAAACGCAAGCATGCTATATTATAAAAAAGCATGCATGAATAATGCATGCAAGTACTTCTAGCACTAAGGTCTTCACATACTTTATTTCATGTTTATTGTAACATCAAATTAGCTAACCTGTCAATATTCGTACTATTTGCATTAGCATAAAATCTTTATTAACATAAAATTCTTCCTCAACTGAAAAATAAAAACTATTTTACCGTAAAAATGGTTAATCATTTACTTATTAAAACTTGCTTCTTTTTTTTATACATAAAAATTAGAACAAACTAAATAAAACTATTGTTTTTAAATTTATAATATATATATATATATATATATATATATATATATATATATATATATATATATATATATATATATATATATATATATATATATATATATGTATATATGTGTATATATATATATATATATATATATATATATATATATATATATATATATATATATATATACATATTATTTGCTTTAACAAGCAATTTATTCAATTTTTAGTGCAATTTTTCTATAAATAACCATTTCTACTGTAATTGCATTAAACTAGTAATATTAACTCCGAAGAAATTGAAAAAAAAATTAACTTAGATTAAAATAATGCAAAATTATGGTTTAATTATGTTATTATTTTTTTGTTTATATATTATTAGTTTCTATATAAACATTAACAAATTAAACTGAAGCCTTTAAAATAGTTGTATAATCAGTACTTTTGCGCTTTTTTGTTATCTGCTGATTATCAATGCCTTCTTCAGTTTCTGTTATT